TTTTAAATAATATTTTTCCCAGTGTTCCGTTTTCTTAATGGGATGATAAATAACACAAATGCATGCATCACGATGTAGGGGTGGACACTTTATCCGATACCCGAACTCGTATCCGAATCCAACCCGAAATATCCGAACCGAAATCCGAACCGAGGTAGCAAAATACCCGAACGGGTATTGAATTAGGAGAGTTTGGATATCCGAACCCGAACAGGTAATACCCAAACCCGAACAGGTATCCGAAGATAACCGAACATATGTATATATACCTATTTATTCCTAGTTTATTTTGTCTCATTTTATTAAAACTATATATATTAATGTTATATATAGTTTAATATCAGATAATATACATATAATTGTAAAAAATTGATTTGTTACTCATTTAAAATGCATGTTAAGCTTCTTATTTCATACTTTAAACAAAATTTGCATCTAAAATTCGAAAATAATAACCAAAATAATGATTTTTATTTTCAATAATTTATTTTCAAACTTATTAATCATCTAACTTATTAAACATTTTAAAAACAGTTAAGTTAATATTCAAATTTTAAATACATGAAACTTAAGTAATAAAGCATTTAAAATTTTTCTTTCAAAATCTAAATATCCGACCCCGACCCGAAATAACCGAACCCGAACTAAAAATATCCGAACCCGACCCGATATGTAAAAATACCCGAACGGGTTCAAAACCCCAATACTGAAATACCCGAAAACCCAAATTACGCGATCCGAACCCGAACGGATACCCGAACGCTCACCCCTATCATGATGCATACGATGCGTAGACACGCATAGGAATAAAAGAACCACGTAAAATCCCCCAAAAAATTAATTACTCTGACATGTAAAAGAAAAAGGATTAGTGCAATCAAAAGAAAAAAATGATGTAAGTTAAGCCCATCATAAGTTCTTACTTTCACCAACAATCAATCAAAACATGCACCAACAATAAGAAGATTCAAATTAAAGAGACTCAACCGTTCATCGCCTCAACTAACATGTTTCCAATTAAAGATATTCCCTTAGCTGTAAAAGCAATTTTGTAACTTCTTCTTTCTGCATTATGTTTATATGTGAACAAACAAACATTAATTAAAAGATAAGTAGATGAAGAATTAGACGATCTCACATTACTACCTTTTGGACTTTACGTGGTTAATTTCTTCCAAATAGGATGGATCTTCATCATTTTGTGATTTGTTTGTTGTTACTGACTTACGAAGCTCAGTTTATAATTAAAAATGCCTCATGATCTATATTTGAATTTTATATTAGTTAAGAGCTTTTTACGGTTCATTATCATGCATGTATCTTAACAACCTCGCTAAGATCACCAAAGAAAAGTAGGTAGCAGTAGTCACCGACCAAAGTTTCATCTGAACTTCTGTTGTCAAATATTTTTCTCCAAAGTATTATGATTTCAGAAGAAACAAGAAAGATAAAAATATAATTTTCATCCTAATTAGTACTACTAGTTTTCTTCATGAAGTATTTTAAATATATAACCTCAACTAGTGCTACTTGGAATAATTAATAACATTTTGGGTTATTTTTAGTTAGACAACTTGTGAATTGTGATATAGTTTTTGGAGGCATCATTTATGTAAAGCAAAATTAAAAGTAATATAACTTCAAACTTATTTTTATTTTTATATTTCTCAGTGAGTTCGAGAATATTCTGTAACTTTATATATATATATATATATATATATATATATATATATATATACTTTGTATGCTTTTCTTACCAAACATCTGATCAAAGATTTTATTGATTTGTTAAAACAATGGAAGAATATTATTTCCCTATTGTAGAGGAATCCAAAGATAACTTATTGTATTTGGGAGGCTAATGCCAATTGCCAACCGATTTTATTGAAGAAGCAACCTCATAAATGTTCATGCTCGACAAAAATCAGAATTTTATCTTTAGATCAGAATATAATATATGTAAAATCTGAATTTTACTTTTAAATGATCATGATTCTACTTTCTGCGCTAAGTTAAACAAATTATTTGTAATTCAAACGGTCCAAAATCACTTAATATAAATCTTACAATTGTAATTTCCACAGTTTTCATGACAAAGTTAAAAACAGCATTATCATACCGCAAATTTCAATTAAGCTACAAAAATATGAACCAACTCATCATTTCATTATCTTATAATAGTACTTTAAATCAGAATCCTCACCTGTTCTCATATATCTAAACATCTCTCATTTCAAATTGTTGTATTAGACCTATTTACTAACATCCATAATGAGAAAATAATCGATCCACTGATCAGACATGCAACTGTCATATAATAAACGTTTTCAGCTTTTGTTACATAAAGATATTCCAAAGTTGCAAAGGTATTTTAATAATAAGATGTGATCCTTTACATATTTCAACTGAATCTTGTATTTCTATTCTAAGAAAACGCAAAATAATTTGTCGAATAACAATTACAAGGTACTAAAAATAACTGTTTGCATTCTTTTATCTGTACGTATACTATATTGTTTTGTAATAACCTACGAATTCGCTAACTACAATGATTCAAATAAATTACAGTAAAAACCTTACAAAACGATTCTCGAAAACAAATATATATACACATTAATAACTAGATACGCAGTTCAAATTGTTTCGATATTTTTTTGGTTAAACATACTGCTGTATTTGAAATTGCATAGTACTCCTGCTCATCATTATTCGAGTGCATGCTTCTCTGATTTGTAACAAACCATAAACAATTATTCATATAAAAAGCAAAAGAGAAAACCAATATAATTGCAGGAAATTAGGATCGAAATGGAAAACACTTTTATGCCATCTCAAAAAAAGAAGAGTGTAGGGTACCACCAATTATGTTGCACACACACACACACACACCTTCGTATACAACTTCCACAAACTCTTTCTTTCCTTGTTATGAAAAAGAAAACAAATGTATATCTAGTAACTTTATCTAAATGGCACAATTATATAATCGTAAGATGGATGATACGTACCTATCGTTTACATGTTTATACATTATAAATATATAATTTTAAGATCCTTATTTTACTATTTGCGCCTATAAATAGCGACCCTCTCTCAGTTCCTCAACTCACATTAACAATTAACATCATCAAAAACATTAAGTTACCAGTTAAAAATAGTGACTTTACAAGCTTACATTGAGAGAGTCCAGAGTAATGGAGAAGAACATCAAGTTTCCTGTTATAGACTTGTCTAACATCAACGGTGAAGAGAGAGACCAAACCATGGCTTTGATCGACGATGCTTGTCAAAACTGGGGCTTCTTTGAGGTTATAGTCTCTCTTCTTCTTTTTTTTTGTTTACAATCAAAGAAAATAATATATTAATAATTTAACGAGATTAGATGTTATATATCTTTTTTTCCTTTTTTTCTTTTGTTATTATTAACTATGAAATGACTCGATGAATATTATATACCTAGCTTCAAAAACATCATTTTACTAGTATTATTTTTTAAATGGGTCGTTATAACTCTTGATATTTGTAAAATAGCTGCTAAACCATGGGATACCATATGATCTAATGGACAATATTGAGAGGATGACAAAGGAACACTACAAGAAATTTATGGAGCAAAAGTTCAAAGAGATGCTTCGTTCCAAAGGCTTAGATACTCTTGAGACTGAAGTGGAAGATATAGATTGGGAAAGCACTTTCTTCCTTCACCATCTCCCTCAGACTAATCTCTATGACATCCCTAACATGTCAGACGAATACAGGTACACACACAAACATTTTATTTATCCTTATAGCATCACATCTCTCATGATCTTATTTTAATACTCATTTGTTATCCATGTCTTTAACAACAGAACGGCTATGAAGGATTTTGGGAAGAGGCTAGAGAACCTAGCTGAAGAACTATTGGATTTACTGTGTGAGAATCTAGGGTTGGAGAAAGGGTACTTGAAGAAGGTGTTTCATGGGACAAAGGGTCCAACTTTTGGGACAAAGGTCAGCAACTATCCACCATGTCCTAAACCTGAGATGATCAAAGGGCTTAGGGCTCACACAGATGCAGGAGGCCTCATATTGTTGTTTCAAGATGATAAGGTCAGTGGCCTTCAGCTTCTCAAAGATGGTGTTTGGGTGGATGTTCCTCCTCTCAAGCACTCCATTGTCATCAATCTTGGTGACCAACTTGAGGTATAATTATAATCCGGTTTATATTTAACCGATTTTAATCAGCAAATTGGTTTAGATTTAACTGGGTTGTCTTTCTCATAGGTGATAACAAACGGGAAGTACAAGAGCATAATGCATCGTGTATTGACTCAAAAAGAAGGAAACAGGATGTCTATCGCCTCATTCTACAACCCTGGAAAAGATGCCGAGATCTCTCCAGCACAATCTCTTGTGGACAAAGAATCCGAATACCCGAGCTTTGTGTTTGATGACTACATGAAACTCTATGCTGGAGTCAAGTTTCAGCCCAAGGAGCCACGGTTCGAGGCCATGAAAAATGCTGCAGCCACCGCGGTTGTGAACCCGGTGGCCACCGTGGAGACATTCTAATTGAAAATGGGGTATTCTATGGAGGCAAGAAAGATGAGAATAACAGAATGGGTTTGATATGTGTGGTAATATTTAATGAAGTTAATGCAAGTAGAATCAAGAACTAAGTGACTATTGATCACTGATGAATCTGGTGTGGTTTAATTGTGAGGGTGTTTATAACATATGAATATTGAAAGACTTTAAAATAATAAGGATCAGAAACGTTGATAATTTCATCAGTAAATTCCACACAACAAAAACAAACAAAGTAAGCTCACAACATAATTAAAATTGAATTAGGTAAACCAATTCAATCAAAATCATCAAAAAGGTTTCAGATTATCCAATGAGTGGCAAGTAGCAGAGACGCACCTTCCAGGTTTAGCCTTGGGTTTTAGCTTCCCTATGATCGAATGGGTTCCATATGACAAGGTTTTTCAAGATTCAGTTACCTTCTCATCTCCTTATGCAGCTGCTTCGTTGGAACAATGGTTCTTGACAACAGTCGATATGTCAGTTTCAGAAGCATCAGCAAGCTTGAATCTTTCAACTGCTGAGTCAAGATTCTTCTCCCAGCCGCTTACACTGATTTTGCATTCCACTTGTGATCTTTCAAACAGCATTTTCTCCCATAATAGATGGATCTGTGATCTCATTGCAATCGCTTGCTCTGCTGTTTCTGCTGCTGTAACAGCTTCCAAAGCCTCCCCGGTTTCCCCATCTCCTTGCTTCTTTCTCCTCTTTGAGACTTCCTCTTTCTTGTTCGGGTTTTTCAGATCATTCATTCTTTGTTCTTCAAACTTCTCCCACATCTCAGTGGCAGCTTTTATCTTCTCTTCTGCACTATCAAAAAGGGCTAATCACTACAAGAAAAATAGGTTTTACTAGCGGACGAAAAACGTTATCTAACGATTCAACAGCGGTTTAAGGAACGCTGTATCATCGCCCGTCATAGTAGATCGAACACTTTAGATAACGATTTTTTGTAATGCTATCTTATAGTTATAAACTATAACGTTTTTTTGTATGCAATTAAATATTATTTAATAGCGTGTTATTTTTGTTATTATTTATATCATTAAAAATAAAATAAATACAAATAAAAAACAAATACTAAATATATTTTTAAAATACTATATATCGAAATTGCAATTTATAAAAAAAAATTATTTATAAATTAAATTGAATTACAAAGGATTCATAAATTAAAACTGATTTACATATAACAATGAACTAGGTGTTTTGCCCGCACATGCGGGCATAATTTTCATACGATTTATTATTAGTCTATATTTTATTAATTCAAACCAATATAATAAGTTATGATTTATGTTTTAAAATTAATTATAAATGACAACACTTACATAACAGAATATTTTATATATATATTTTTTCAAATATGTTGCTTTAATTTATTTTAATTATAATTTTTTCTATCTTAATTTTTTATTTCTATAATAAAAATATATTTTTAAGATAAAAATATAATACATAAGAAGTATCTTATTTTCTCAAAATCTAATTTTTAATAGAAATTCTTTTTTATTTTATAATAATTTTTATATGAAATTATTAAAAAATATACAAATAATCAAAATTATCTAAATCACAGAGAAATTACAAATCAGATAATTCACTTAAATTTTCTAATAAAAAATATATGTTCAAGATAACAATCTAATACATAAGAATTCTATTATTTTTTTAAATCTAGTATTATTAGTATAGATTCTTTTTATTATTTAATAAATTATATATGAAACATTAAAATATGATAAATAAACAAAATAAAAAACCATGAAGAAGTTGATAAATCAGTATTGCTTTCTTTATATTTATTTATTAATATTTTAACTTAATTTTTAATTTCTATGATAGTTCACAACAATTGTTCGCTACAAGTTTCCCTCATAGTTGGATGAAAAACATACATTTCAAAGATAACAATATAATACATAAGAGTTATCTTATATTTTAAAAGTATAATATTATTAATAGAAATTCGTTTTATTATATGATAAATTATTCATAAAATTATTAAAATATAACAAATAAGAAAAATTACAAAAATCATAGAGAAGTTACAAATCAATCAGTAAATTCACTTGAATTTTATAATAGAAAAATATATTTTTAAGATAACAATTTAATACAAAATAATTAACATATTTTATAAAATATAATATTATTAATATAAATTCGTTTTTACTAAAAAAAGAAATTATATATAAATATTTAAATAAGGTAAATAAATAAAATTACCTAAAATTAAGGAGAAGTTGACAACTAAGCAAATTTACTTCTCAAATAATGTTATAGATCAAAATTGGTTTAAATGTAAACCAAAAGAATAAACCAAAAAAAAAAATTAAACTTAAGAACCCTAACTCCTAGCGTCTCCGCCTCCGCCTCCTTTGCCCAAGAGCTCCACCTCCGCCTCCTCTGTTGCTTAATCACGAACTCCTCCACCATCGAAACCATGCTGTCAGCTACGCCATATGCTGTCCTCCTCCATCCTCGACACTTCATCCACACCGTCAGCTATGCCTCCACAATCATGCTCTCCGCCAGATCTGCTCCTTATCTGTCATACTCCTCCACCCTCGACGCTTCAACAACGTCCTACGCCATGTCCTCCTTCGTTCTCACCCATCTTCTATCTCTGTCAATCATCAACATCCTCCGCCGTCATACAAATGAATCAGGAGTGATATAGGAGAAGAACAAAAAGATGGAAATTCGAGAGACATATGAGAACGAATAACAACTTACATTTGCGTTGATTTGTTGTAGAGAGAAATCATTAGGTGGATTTTGTGTTGATTTGTTGTTGATCGTGTCGTGTACAAGAACATAGAACGTGAGAGATGGAGACAGAGAGATGCAAAGAAAGAAAGGAAGAAGAAAGAAAGAGATGAGATCTATCGGGGAGTGAGCAAAGAGAGAAGAGAATTTTAGGCCTTCAGATCAAAGACAATCAATGGTTAAGATTGTAATCCTTGCCATTATAAAACGGACCAATGAGAAGAAAGAACAAGAAAGTAAAGGATTCATTTGTAGTCTTTGAATCCAAAAATGGTCTTAGCTTCCAAAAAGTGGTTTTAAATTTTTATTTTGTTAATTATTTTAGTAATTATAATTATATTTTTGATTAATTTTGTTTATATAATGAACAAGTTATTCATTTTCATTTATAAAACTAATGATATAAGCTTAACAAAATGATTAGATTTTATTTTTTATAAGAAATTTTAAGTTAAATAAGACTTCTAATTAACAAAAAGGTTTAGTAAGTTTAGGGTCTGCACTCTAGTGTAAAACTTTAGATTTAAGCTTATTTTTAAATTATGAGATTAGAGTTTAAAGTTATATGCTTAATTTGGGCTATCATATATATAAGTATATAGTTTACAGTTATAGATTTAGCTGTAATGTTTGAAATTAAAATTTTAAAATATGAAAACTTGAATAAAGATTTGAGTATATACGAGGGTTAAAGGTTTAGAGTATTTATTTAAGATTTGAGATTAATTTTTGAGTTTATGTTTAAGATCTGAAGTTAATTTTAAGATTTTATGTTAAAATAATAGAATTTAAAGTTTGTGGTTCGAGTTTAGGGTTTATTAAACGTTTAGGGTTTAGGGAATCAAAAGTTAAACATAGTGTTTTGTATTTATGTGTTGCTATTAAATATAAGTGTTACATATAAATCATATGCTATAGTAGCGTTTCCAAATAAACCACTGTATCATAGCGTTTCCAAATATACAAACGTTATCTAAAAATAACGGATATGTTAACCATAGCAGAAAGACAAAAAACGCTATCCTCTATTGCTATCAAAACCCATATTTCTTGTAGTGAATGTTTCTATTGAATCCCATCCAGACAAATCTATCTTTTGTGCCAATGCAAAAGACCAATGAAGTTTTGCCATCTCTAACTGTTGTTGTCCTAACGCGAGCAAACCCTCATAAAAGTCAGGTTTGATTGACAAGGCGTGCTCATACTTTTCCTTAGCAAGAGTGTATCTCTCTTTCACCCAGTCGTAAGCAGTCTGCAGCTGCTCCGCCACCTTTTCCTTTCCAGCAGATTCTTCCAACGGAATCCGATTCCTCGCAGCGCACATATGAACATTACCCCAGTTGAAGAAAGCTAACGCAGCAACTTCTTGGAACTTGGCAGCAGCTTTCTCGAAAAGTGGCTGAGCTTCTTCACTAGTGACTGTTTCCTCCAACGCCTCAGAGCAAAGCTCCATCCCCAGCTCATGCAAGTCAACATGAGCATCAGGGTCAATACCCACATGAGACCGGAAAAGCTGAGCAAAATCAAACAACCAATCATCCATCTCCAGCTCCTTCATCTTAGGATCTTCAGAAGAAGAAGCCTTCTCCTTATCAGATTTCTCATTACTAACCTCTGTTTCAGATACCGTTTCACTCAGAGATGACACTCTAACATCTTCTTCAACAGGCTTCTCTTCCTCAACCACTTCCACTTCCTCCTCCTCCTCCTCCTCTTCCTCAGACAAAGGTGGCTCCTGCTCAGGCCTCACATCAACAACATGCAATCTCAACATCCCAACGGACTCACACTTATCAGACTCATGCTCTTTAGTCAAAACACCATCAGCAACACTCTCAGCCAACCTAAGCTCAGCAGTGGAAGTAACAGTAACCAAATCACCATCACTATCTCTATACTTAATCAACACCGACTTAGAAGACGGAAAACGACTCCTCACAATCTCCCTCAACACCTTAAACCCACAATTAACCGGCATCTGTCCCAACCTAATATCATGATCATAAACAAACTTCAACGGCGTCCACCTAGGGATCAAATGCTGAAATGGACCAAATGGTCTTCAAAAAATCTCAATTAGACATATCCCTTTTTTATTTTATTTTACAATTAAATTTAAATAGAATTTTTAGTGAAATAACTAAAAAGCCTAAGGACTTCAACTTATTTACTAATCTATACCACTACTATCCTACCCAACATCCGACCCAGATCCAAATATCCAGATCCAGATCCAAAAACCCACCCAATCTCCTTCTTCTTTCTTTTTTCTTCTTCATTCAAAGTTCTTGGACAAGTTCTTTCACCATGAAATAAAATCAAAAAAATTCTTCAACCATCCACTAATTTTCTTTCTCTTATCTCAAATCGATCAACCCATAATCATATTTACTCAATTATATTTTACCCAGAATCAAATTTCATATTTTACGAAATTCAAAATAATGAAGAACGCAAAGTATTATTAGTACAACTAGTACAACTCAAACTAATACAATTAATATAACTCACTCTAGTAAAACTAGTATAACTTGTACAACTTAAATTAGTACAACTAGAATAACTAAAACGAGTATAACTAGTATAAATAGATTAAGTATCCCATATACATTATTTGAGAAGTAGTTTTCTTACATGACTTTGAGAAATTATGAAATGGCATCATTTAATTATGAAATGTAGAATTTCTTTTATTTATTTTTTTAGCATATGAAGATGCTAAAAAGAGAATGGTGTAGAACCAATAAAACATAGTGGTCTAATCTCCCCAGCCAGCCATATGTCAAATATATGAATAGTATATTTTTCATTATATTTGTTTTGAAATTGATATGTTTACAAGTAGTATTACGTATACTAGTTGTACGATTTTTGAAAAAAATCATCTTCATATTTTTTCTCTCAAGGGCAAAAAGCAAGATGGAACCAGAAAATTATTTAACCATTGGTCTAAAAAAGCGAGTCACCGCAAAAAAGATTTTTTTTTTAATAATATTTGTTTTGAAATTGATATGTTTACAAGTTGTTCTAGTTATACTAGTTGTATACGACTTTTGAAAAAACGCGAGTCACAAAAAAAAATATTGCGTTGATGCAAATAATTTATATTTTACATCAATTATTAAATGAGGTGATGTAAATTGAGTATAACCAATATAACTGATACAAGTAAAATACATATAACTAATACAACTTTTCAATTAATATAGTGATCTTTATTTTGTTTTCAACGTATGGATATGGTATAGAAGAGTATGATGTAGAACCGATAGACATGTTGGTCTAATATTCCTTCTCATGCATATGTCAAATACATGACTTCAATATTTTTAATAATATTTTATTTAGATAATGGTTTTTTACAACTTGTACCAGTTATAGTAGTTATACTATTTTCAGAAAAAAATCAGCTTCATCATTTTGCTTTCAAGGCCGAAAAATTTGATGCGGAATCAAAAAATTCTTCAGAAGTGCGAGTCACCGGAAAGAAGAATAAGGAGGGAGCATCAGTGACAACTAAGGTTTCCTTTCGCTTCGAATATATAGCTTTTAGGGTTACTTTTGAAAACTTATGTTCTTTATATAATTTATGTTCCTTTTGGTATTAAAACTTATGTTTCTTGTGATGTAAAACTTGTTTTTATATCTTTTGAAACTATCAAAACTTATGTTCCTTTTGAAAATTATATCTTGTATGGAAAAATTATGTTTAGTTTAAATATACATGTATATTGGTATAAGTATAATTAATACAACATATTCAACTAAGCAATAATATTTAAGAATGACACAACTAGTACAACTACTTGGCATTTAGTGTTCAACCAAAATTGTTAAAACATGATCCACATTTAAAACAATATAAATAAAATAACAAATAGTTGTATCAGATTTTTTAGTTGTACCTGACTATACATAGTTGTACTAGTTTTTTAGTTGTACCTGACTATACATAGTTGTACTACTTTTTGAGTTGTACCAGTTTTACATAGTTGTACTTTGGCGGTGAAATCAAAAATATTAGTTGTACCACATAATAAGTGCACTTACCTCAGTTGTACCACTTATTTTTGTTTACATACATTTGCCCAGTTACAATGAAATCATTAAATTTGTAAAATTATATTTCATGTATGTTTTCTAAAAATTATGTGGACAAACAATTTAACAAACCTTAAAATTATGAGGTAGATTATCTAAACTTATGGAGTTTTGTAATTATTTATAAAAACAATTTATACAAAACTTCAAATTAGATTAAAGAAACTCTATGAGTACATAACAATTAGTATATTTGATTGTTTTTTATATGGAATACCAAACTGATTTTTTCAAATTTTGAAATGTCAAAGTTATACTAGCTGTACCAGTAATACTCATCTAATATATTTTTTAAATATATCTATTGTTTATATGTCTAGTATTTTGAGTTGTACTAATATTTTTACAACATGGTTTTTGTAAGAATATGTCTAATGTTTGTTTTCATAATAATACGGTTAATGTAGTTAATAAGCCTTAAGTATAAAGTATATAATGTAAACTAAGAATGTAATATAATAATTTAATAAAAAAATTGAAAAACTTTAGAAAAAATAGATGAAATGTTGTCATTATATACCAATTAGTATATTTACTTGTACATTTTATGCAATCAGGGTTACGAGGGACCATAGCTACCAATCTTATCTGGTGAATGGGGGTCTTAGCTCCATAACTTATTATGTTATAAATATAAGGTATGTAATGTAAAACTAATGTAACAATATAATAGTTGTAAGAGTTTTTGAGTTGTATTGGTTTGTACATAGTTGTACTAGTTTTTGAGTTGTACCAGTTTGTAAATAGTTGTACTAGTTTTTGAGTTATACCGGTTTGTACATAGTTGTACTTTGACAGTGAAATAAAAAAAAAAAACTAGTTGTACCACATGAAATTTAAACTTACCTCAGTTGTACCACCTTTTTATGTGCATATATGTCTTCGCCCAATACAATGAGATCATCGATTTTGTTAAAATGCATTTCATATATGCTTTCCCAAAAATATGTGGACAAAGAAGTTAACAAACCTTAAAAGTATAAGGTATAACATATAAACTTATGGAGTTGTGTAATAATTTTTAATTTTTTTTTCAAAACTTCAAATATATTAGGAGAAAAAAATCCGATTACATACCACTTTGGATGTTTGATAATGTTCTTATATGGAATACCAAATTAGTTTGCCAATTTTTGAAATGTCCAAGTTGTACCAGTTGTACCAATAATATTCGTTTAATATATAATAAAAAATTATAACAATTATATCAATTGTTTATATGTTTAATTTTAGAAGTTGTACCAATATTTTCATAATAATATAGCTAATTTACTTAACAAACCTTAAAATTAATATATATATATATATATATATATATATATATATATATATATATATATATATATATATATATATATATATATATATGATGTAAAACTAAGAGTGTGATGTAATAATTTAACAAAAAAGTTAAAAATTTCAAATAAAATAGATGAAATTTTGTCATCAGATACCAATTAGGATATATGTTTGTTTATTTCATATATGTAAAAAAATGATTATTAGTCGTTTCAATTATAGTAGTTGCATATTGTACATGAATTATAACATTTATATATTAGTTATGCTAGTTATATCAATTGTTAACATGTTTAGTTATACGAGTTATACTAGTTGTACCCAGTTTTCTCTTATCATCTGACGGCTCAGATTACATCTCGCATTATCTGATCTAATGGTTCACATTGAACTCTCATTAATGGTAAAATGGTCATTTTACACCCTTTGGTCCATGGTAGATTTTTTTTGGATGTTGTAGATTAGTTTTGGGTGTTTTGTCCCATAATAGATTTTTTTCCTCCACCTAGTAACCACCTTCTCTTGAGTCACCACCACAGACTGCTCTCCCTTCATCACACCTTTACCAGAAGAATCATTCAAAGGCTTCAACACAGTCTTCCCCATCTGTGTCTTCCCTTCATTACCATTCTCAATCACAGGACTCACCTTCACTACCTTACTAACAGGCGAAGAAGCAGCAGAAGGAGAAACTACCTTTTTATGAACTTGACGAGAAGGCAAACAAGGCCCAAGCCCATTAACAGGTCCGCCTAAAGCAACAGAGGCCCCAAGAGCAGCAGGAGAAGGCCTACTACTCTGAGGCCCACCAGGCCCAAACATCATTAACCGTCTCGACATCTCCGTAGCGTCCTTGTGATTCAGATCAGCTCCAAGCAACGAATTCACATCTTGCGCACCAATTCATATTTTCCAACAGCTTCAAATGCTCTCGCTCTCCTCAGCAAAGCTCTGGTGGACCCAGGCTGGACCTGAAGCGCCATCAAACACTCGGAGATGACCTTCTCGTAATCAATCGGCTTCATCTGCATTAAACAAGCCGCGTGGTTGCTGTGGAAGACGGCGCGGTCTAGGTGGCATTTGGGGATGAGTTTGAGCGCGTCGGCGTATTGGTCGAGAGCGGATTGGAAGTCTTTGCTTTGGAACTTCTTGTTGCCTTCTTCCTTGAGCTCGTGTGCTCGTTTGAGGAACACGAAGGCGTCGAAATCGGTTCCGCCGTTGACGGTGGGTTTTGAGGAGGATGAGTTTTCGACGGAATTGGGGTTTTTGGAACCGTTGCCGTTGTTGTTGCTCTTCTTCTTCCTCGCTCCGGATTTCCCCATTTTTGGAAATCGATGCATGGAGAGTGGATGATGATTCAACGGAGAGCTGATGCTGATACCGAAGCGATTGAGGATGAACGTGGAAAACCCTAAAAACGTAAATTAATCAGATTAGTTTTTCAGTTTGTTGGATCTTGTAGAGCCCAGAGGGCTTATGTTAGTTGGGCTTTTATATTTGACATAAAGGCCCAAAAGAGGGTGCCATTTATTATCACACACTCTTTATACTACTCCTCTAGGATCGACTATATATGTAGTTAGAATATTTCCAATGGTGAACATCATTGTCCTTAATTTTTTATTTTTTTGTCAGATTAAAAAAAATATCAACTAATCACAAACTGTTATTTGTCGTGGAGGTATACAAATAGTGTAAGGATTCATTAAAAAGAGTCTTTAAAAGAGAATTTTAAAGATTTAATCCTTAATTTTTTTCTAGGATTTACTAATTATTTACTTTTTTAAGAACCTTCTCTTAAGAATCCCTATTATACATGCTCTTAGTTTTGAAATTATTAGATTCAAGTATAAATTTTGTAAACCATATCAACAAATAGAGAGTTTCTTTACCAGAGGAAAAAATATTATATTTTTATTAACAAAAATGTTTTCTCTGTGGGGTGTGGGGAAATGTGAGAGTAAAAAGTGTTCACCGAGACGAGCGCAAATCTGTCACCACTTTCCCTATATATTTGCAAAACCGATGTTCGAATATCCGCATTTCTAGGATTTAAAGGACAAACATTTAAAAAATTGTAACCTCAATTTTGTAATAATTAAAATGGACCTCATGCTTAGGTGTCATTCAATTAGGTGTCAATTACATTCAATTGAAAAATAAGTAGGTCCACATTCGATTTTTTATATGTCGCTAGATACATTTGTTGGTCAAATTATATGATATGATGATATGATATGATATTTAGGATAGAATCATTTATGATTGCTCCCATATATATAATTACTATTTTATTTTATTTCTATAAATAAAACCTACGGAATTACCATAAATGACTAATATATATATATGACACTTAATGATTCTAATAATAAATATGTGATAACAGTTTATATATCCTCCATCATTTTTTTTTTAATTTTATATTATTAAAATAAATTAAACAATCAAATTAGCTATGAAATTAAACTTTAGATTTTTTCATATAGGTTATATTTTGAATTTTTAATACGAGAATAAATAACTAAATTATTAAAATTATTATGTTAAAAATTAATGATTAATAGTTTAACATTTTTATTATAAAAAGATATACATGATTTTAAAACCATATAAGTAAAAAGTATCATTCAATAATAAAACAAATATATATACAGATTAAACTATATACCATATAAGATTACATAAATATTTTAATTTCAAAATTTTCAATAAATTTTCAAGAACATTTATAAATTATAAACTTATTAAATTTTTCACATTGAAATTTTTTGTTATCAATGATTTAAATATCTTTGTTCTTTTTTAATTTTATATTTTTAAAAGATATTAACAATCGCTAATATGGTTATTTTTGGTATATACCATACAAACCGAATGGATGTGATTTTATAAAGCCATAGGATTTGGATATGGTTTGATTTATAACCGATTAAACTGAAACATGTAAATATATATATATATATATATATATATATATATATATATATTTATAACGACGCATGAATATCTATTTGTTACATGAGTTGAACTATAATTATAATTTGTAAATAGCTAACAATTTATTACAACTGAGACTTCTTATTTTGATCTTTGCTTTTTTAACAGTAACTAAATTGAAGTAAAGATTATAAATTTGATGGACAACAATTAGTTGAAATTCTTTACAACTTTTTTTTTTATCTTTAAACAAACAGAGTTGTGTTCAATCGAAGACATATTGGTTTGATGAACACTAAATATGGAAGAATATAAAAACTTTTCTTTCATGCTTCTGTTTTGTTTTTTATTTTTATTTTCAAAATTTGGTGTTTTGATATTAATTCTAGATTTGATCATTTTATTAGATGATATAAGCATTTTTTGTTTTTTATTCTTTTATTTAAATATATAATATTTTTTTAATAAATGACTCTATGACAATATGACTCTAAATATGATCATATTATATATTTGTATAATATATAATATGATCTCAAACTAAATAATTATGTTTTTTGGTATAAAATTGAACAAACTGAAAACAGATGGTATATAACCAAATCAAACTGAAGTACATATAGATTTAGAGTAGTAGTATAATAATCGAAATACCAAAAAATCGAGCCAAACCGAAACCCGATATCCGGATTGAACACCTATAATCCGAATGAAACCGAACTATTGTTTCATTTTTCAAAACATAAAAAAATAATAGCTTCATCCCGCGCAAGGCGCGGGTCTTATCCTAGTTCCAATTATTCATGTGGAAAGAATGGAAGCAAAAGGAATACAGTAGTAAATCGTTCAGAAGAAAAAAGTTACGTGAATGTAATGGAATGGAATAAAATTGATATTTTAATTTGTTTAGATGATATTTATTTACTTGCAGTCAAAGTGGTGGCTTGGTTAAGATATTAAATTTGAAAATTCTGGTAGAATCTATGATTTGTTACAATCTTAAACTAAAAAATAGCAACATATTTTCTTATTTAAAGATTCGGCCGTAGTGATCAAACTTAAAAATCAAAAGTGCTCTTCTCCTAACAGGTAGTATCTTATCATCACATCATAGTTATACTCTTTTTTCTCTGAGAAAGCTTAATTGTTAATGTTTATCTAGTGATGACGTTTTATAAATCCAAGTACGATTTTGTTTTGCTATATCTGAAAGTTGAACAGATTCTAATCATCTATGTTGGTCAATATTTCTCGTCAGATAGAAACAAAGATGATCATAATTTTTGACTCAATGTTATTTGTATTCTTCTTTCTTCTTAGTGATCATAATTTTTATCCAAAAGTTTTATTCTGATTTGCTTTTGTCGGTTAGTTTAGCTTTCGTAATTGGTTCACTCGTCTGACACTATTATAGTAATTAACTTAAGTGGTGTATATTGGTTTCTGAGATGCATTTATATTCATGTCGTTTAGTTTGAAACGTTTTACCTTTTGTTATTAATTTTTTAATGACTATTTTTTCTGCAGAAATATGATGAATAGAAGCAACAAATCAGGCAACAAAAGTCAGTTGAATGGTAAAGACAAGTCTACTGGTGAAGCATCAACAACCCGTGAGGCAAAATGGAGGCCGGCCTAATTGTAAAGACAAATCCCTTGATGAAACACCAGCAAATCGTGCAGGAAAAGCAAGTTCCCATAACATAAATTTAGTTTATTTTATTATAATAGAAATTATATATAACATATATTTTTTATATTTATTTTAGTATAAATATTGGATCCCAAGAAAAACAGAAATTTTACTCAATCTCGTGAACATTGAGTTAAAAGCAAAAGACTACACTATAAGATTGCCAGACAACCCAGCTAAGAAAAGAATAGAAGAAAAAATATTATGAAATGACCGGAGATAAGATTATTTATGAGCCAGAGATGAGAAATAGACTAGACTACATGCGCCGGCTACGACACCATTACAATATGTCAGTCAACCGTACCGGTGTTCGAGTTAATCCTACAACGGAACAAATAGAGATGCCTAGTTCGTGGTGGGAGGATCGAATTGCTGTAAGTTTCACAAATTACTCAAAAACATATACAACATTTATTTAAAAATCTTGGTCATAATTTTACTTATAAATAATTATAGGAGGCTGGAACAACTAATGGGAAATTTATACGGGTGTTGCAAAGCAAGCCTCTTCCTTTCAAAGAGTTACTTGATGAAATTTATGGTGAACATGATTTAGATCAAGATGAACGTTATTCACCATTCATGCTCGGTGAACATATCCAGCAAACGCAAGCGGAGGAAGCTAGTGATGATGAAACTACAGCAGGAGAAACTGCAGAAGATAGTGAAATCCGAATTCCTTCGGAACAGATTAGCCTCTTAGCTTCAGATGACGAATTTCCCACTAGAGAAGCACATCGTTCTCCACCTCGTGCAAACAAGTCAATTTTATGTGTTCAGAGTACATCTACTAAGCGTACGAATAGAAAAAGAGTCAATTTCGAGACACAAATCCAAAGTGGATTTCAGCGTGTGGAAGAGTCTCGCACAAACTTATTAGATGTTTTACGGTCAAGAAACCACCAGAAAGCAACTTTTGGAGATGCTTTGGCTGTACTAGAAACATTAGATGTTGTACCGATGGGAAGCTTCTGGTGGGCTGCAAGTGGACTGTTGATGAAAGACGAGGAAATCCGCGATGGGTTTATAAAATTACGAAGTGAAGAAAATAAAATTCGGTTTTTAGAGAGGCTAAGTGGTATTGATAGATATGGTGACCCATGCCAAATCATCAACTTAAGAGAGACATCTAACACTTCAACGTCTTCTGCCCCAATAGCTCATTCGCAAATGGATGGAATTACAACTAGCACTTCACAAAGTTTAGGTCAGGGACTAGGAATGTTTGAATCAGGATCTTCAGGGACTAGTTTTTCGTCTATACTTGGGGTTCTTGGGAATAATTCGTTTGGTTTAAGTTCTGGGTTTTAATTTATTTTTTAATAATTTTATTAATTTTGTAATAAAAAAATGTTTTTATTCCTCTCTTTTAATAAAATATTTGATTAATCATTTGCTTTAGTTTCTAACATAGTTATTTATTTATTTAAAAGGTTTTATTATGTTTTTATCAGGAGCATCGCATTGCATAATTACTTTCTAATGGAATCAAAAATTTGTCTGATGAAGAGCTTACTGAGTTGATATTATTAGAAGAAGATGAGATATTCCATGCTTACATCACTCATGCGATTGACTATTACTGTAAATTTTTCTACAAGGAACCAGTGAGTCAAGAAAAGGGTAAAGGATGGTGTATGATCCGGAATCAGATTTATGAGAATGAAGGTTCATGTCGAAGGTTAGTGAGAATGAGTAGAGAGGGATTTACACGCCTGTGTGAGCTACTTAAAGGAAAGTATGGCTTACAAGACACTCTTGGTGTATGTGTTGATGAGAGCGTTGCAATCTTCCTTATTCTTTGTGGGCAAAATGATACACAATATGATCTTGGTTTAAGATTTGGACACGCACAAGAGACAATAGGACGAAAGTTTCATGAAGTACTTGGGGCAATGGAACGAATGGCTGTAGACTATATGCGACCACGAACAACTCAAGAAATGGAAGCTATATCTAACCGTTTAGAAGGAGATGGTCGATATTGGCATTTTTAGTGGTTTTTTAGGAGCACTAGATGGGACACATGTACCAGTTATGGTAACTCCAGGAAAAGGTTCCAAACGTTTCATAAGTCGGAAAGGAACAACAAGCCTTAATGGGTTGGCCATGTGCGATGCAGATATGCTTTTCACATACTGTTTTGTCTGGATGGTAGGATCAGCCCATGATGCACGAGTGTTAGCTACAGAAATTCGGGATGATCCTATGTTTCCCACACCTCCAGAAGGTAAATATTATCTTGTAGACTCTGGGTATGCCAATAGTTGAGGTTACTTAGCTTTGTATCGAAAACAGCGTAATTGTGGCACACGATATCATCTACAAGAGTTTTTGAATGGTGAAGCACCACGAAATAGTAACGAGATGTTTAACAGATGGCATGCATCCCTCCGTTCTGTAATTGAACGGACATTTGGAGTCTGGAAAAAAAAATGGAGGGTTTTAAATGAATTTCCAAGATATAATATTTATGTACAAAGACGGGTTATATTTGCTACAATGGGGCTACACAATTTTATCCGAAGAAGCAACATTAGAGATGTTGAGTTTGAAGAAGCAGAAGCTGGAAATGATGTTTTACATGGTAATCAAAATATTAATGATGATATAAATGATTACCAGAATGTTCAAAATGAGAATGATATAGTAGCTGGAGCTTATATGAAAGCTGTTCGTGATCAAATTGCGAAAGATATTTGGGTTGCGAAACATTGTACGCATCGCTCTCAACGTTAGATTTTACTAATAAAAATGCTTGTTTTTTTTTAATTTCAAAAGGTTATTCTCACTAATAAAAATGTTTAGTATCAAACTAAAGTTTAAATAAATATTTTGCTTCTTTTTAGTATGTTTATTAAATTTAATGAAATTTATTTTATTGTCAAATACATTTAAGTCATATAATGAGAATAGTCTTAATAATTTAATTAAAAATTATAGTTAATGTCATTCCATTCCATTCCTTTAAAATGTTACCATTTATGTTACAAAAATGTTTCTTTGCACTTAGTCATGTTATTCCATAAATGTTATCATTCCCAACGTTCACATTCCAATTTTTGTAATTCATTTCATTCAGAGCATTCATAAATTATACTTCCAGTTACAGCCTTTATATTTTATTCAGTTCCTTTTGGAATGGATGGAATAGCCATTCCATTTCATTTATCACAACTGGTAAAAAAAATGTGGAATTAATGGAATCATCCATTCCATCTCATTCCATTCCAAAAAAGTGTATTTTAGTTGCACTCAAAATATTTTTTGTAGCGCGAGGAAAATTAACTTAGGATTTGCATGTCTAGACAGTTATTTCTTCTTGTATATTCCATTTTTTTATACGTAACTTAAGAACTTGGCAAAACATACCAATCTACCTCAAATAGTGTGATCCGGGTCTAATGGATATTGGAACTAGAAGAAGTTTGCGATCTGATATCGGAGAAATGTAACCCAACTCAATTATATTGGTATGTTTTGAATAAAGTTGTGAAATGATTTGTTGATTTTATTTTCCATTACCAGCTTTCGAACCTAAAGTTTAGAGTTTATACTTTAGACTTTACGCTTTGATGAAAGGGATCATTGAGTGAATCGCAGAGAGGGCAAGATTGTGCAGACAAATAATGTGACAACAACAATGCATGGGAAGCATAAAAAGGCTATGGTGGTGGGCAGCACAAAAGATATCGTTGGACCCAAAATAAATACTAGTATTATACTCCAGCGTTATGCATAGTTGTTAGAGTACATCTTATAAATCAGCTTTCGAGAAAAAGCCTCTAGCACTATAGATAAGCAATTACTTATATGTCTAACTAGTATCTAGGAACTAACAATTCTACTTTGTATTCTGCTCAATAATAAATTCCATAATTTAACTTTGGCGGTAAGAAAAACTACTCCAAACTACTCCCTCTGTTTCAATATAAGTGTCACTCTACAGCCATGCACACGGATTAAGGAAACAATTAATTTTACATATTTCCTATATAAAAATACAATTACCCACACACCTAACCATATTTTAACCAATAAAAAAACAAATTACATAATAAAATTAATAAATTTTGCATTGAAAACCGAAAACGACACTTATTTTATAACACAAAAAATTCTCTACAACGACACTTAATATAAAACGGAGGGAGTATAATTTAAACTACAAGTTTAAACATTTTATATCGGTGGCCACACTTCGTAAACATAAATAACATACTATATTAAATACGTGCAATTACACTAACTTTTTGATATAATCAAGATGTTATTATAATACAATGTTATCTTTGTCGCATTATACTACAGTTAATGCTTACACATGAAAACTTTCGGGCAATCAAACATGTTGCCCTAGATAGATCCAAGTGAAAAAAAAAAAACATTTATAGCTTTTTATTTCCTGTAAGCCATTTTCCAGGCAAAGTTTTCTTATCTCCAAACACCAAAAACTTTCTCACCAATAAAACTCACAACTCTACTAACGGCTCCCTTCTCCTCCTCTTCCGCCGCTTCTTCACCAAAGTCTCCGCCACAAAACTCCTCCGTTGACTCCAAACCACCGTTGCAACCACCAGTTGCATCAACCAACTCGCTTGAACTCGTACACGGACACGCAATGGACTCACTGAGCTGACTCGGAATATCATTCGTACCAAAACTAGGAGGACTAGCGAGAGCTGGAGATTTCACTGAACGCCTTCTCCGGCCTTTCTTCCCAGTTATGTTCTTTTTATTCTTTGTTTGCTTCTTCTCCAAGCTGTCTTCGAAAGCGTCGATGATCTCATGAATCAGTTGGCGACTTGGTGAGGAGTCCCATCTTACCCAGTAACTCGTGTAACAGCTGAAACAGTCGCAGTGGAATAGAGGCGAGTGGTTTTCCAAGTGTGATTGTTTGTGTGGTTTGGTCTTGCTCAGGCGAGAGGTAGAGTTTCTGTCGCTTGAGTAAGAAGCGGTTGATATTAGATAAGCTAGGACTTCACGGTCTTCCGGAGAAAGAACCGCTGCTAGTGATAAGATGGCAACGGGAAGGAGATTGAGAAGCTTGTCGTCGGATTTTATCTGCGGCGGCGACGGGTGTACGGTTCCTTTCCGGTAGAGCTTCTTCATTGCTTCGCATAGAACAGAGAGATAGAGAGAGAGAGAGGAGGGACAATGAAGAAGATGTTTATTGACTTATTTGAGACTTTAAATACCGAAAGGTTCACTAGGTTTTTGTTTGTATCATTCCCTTTTTTATTGTTTTGTTATCAGTGTACTATATGTTTTCTTACAAAAAGTGATTAATTAGTGTATGTTATTAAATATTAGGCTAGATACAAATTACACTTGAAAGAAAGTGTTCTAGTTAAAATGTTTTAATGTGTATAATACAACACTCATATTAATTTATTTTTTTTTTTCACAACACTCATATGATTTTACTAAAGCCAACAAAATAAAAACATTCTTTGTAATAAAAAAATATTTCTTTATTATTTTTAAACATTATTTATGTTGCAAAGGTCCTTCTGATTTGGATGTATACTTATGTTTTGTTTTGTTTTCGGATATTACTACAGTTTCGTGAAACTTGATTAATTCAAAACTATTCAAACAACTTGTTGACGGGAAAGGTGCTTGATATCATCATCGTCCAACACTTGTAGTTAAAAAAAAAAACACTTGTAGTTAAAGTGGTGTCATTTGTTTATAGTAAACTTTTAATCGGTATGCACTGCACATAAACGTATACTTTTCTCTTTTGTTTTTCTGTAGCAAATGAAACATTTTCTTGTAACCTCAACATTTAGGAGTAGTCATTTTAAAACGAAAAGATTCATTGAGTTGGGCCAATGATATAACGGGCTTCATTTGAAAACGCCCAACTAAAAATAATTGCTAGACAGATTCATATACTAATCAACAACTTTATCTATATTTACAGCATAATCCAAACATCTTAATCATGAACTCACATAGGCATATGTTCTTGACTATTACAGCCCCACCTCACTGCCTTTGAAAGCCACCGTGAGCTGGCCAACCTTTAAACCAGTCCTCTTCCAGTACTCCACCTCCGTAGAACTGTTAAACCTAGCCGTTTTAACCGATTCTTCAAACCCAAAACGTGGTCCGCATCCACAGCTCGTAACATTAGTCACCACTTCGTTGGATGTTCGTTTATAGTGGCCGAACCATTTGGCTTGCATATAACCGTTCCTCTTCCACGGAGGCACTTGAATCCCTGCTCGCTTCATCGACCGTCTTATCTCAAAACACATGATTCTCACAAGCTGTTTCAGCTCTTCAGGTGTTCCAACAAAGACACGTGGTAGTTGTGCTAAGAGAGAAATGTATCTTGCCGTAGGCCGAGCAATCACGAACTCTCCAGCAAGATTTGTCTCGACTATGAATCGGTTGTTATCTTCTCCATTAACGTCAACGTACTTGTATTTTCCGCCCGTGTTATTGCCAAATCTCTCCCACCGGGACTTGCAAAGACCTACGTAATATTAATTTGAATCACAAGAAAATTCATTAATTGCAGAGTACTATATATATGTTTATGCATACAAATGAGAAAAACTTAAAAAGATATTACTAAATGATAGTGAGATCAACCATTGTTTACAATAAAAAATCTCTCTAAAATCGAATTCTATCTACAAAATTCAGGTTTTATTTTAACAAACGTAACCAACACCCCTAAATTTCAAATACATATATACAAGTGTGAAGTGTAAGTTTCATATAATATAGTCATAGACAGCATTAACGTTAGTACCTGCATCAAAACCTTTGTTACGTAGATAAGCCATCAAGTGTCGTTTCTCTCCAACGAACTCATGACTTGCATTTACTACCTCATCAACTATTCTCCGCCGCTCTCCGTTGCCTCCGTGATCTTCACAAATCTCCCGTAACCTCTCTTTCACATCTTCATAAGCATCATCATCATCTACGTCCGACTTATCATCGTTTTCTTCCCCAGGAGGAACCTCATCAGGTAAAACTTTCACTTCTTTGTCGATAAAAGATTCTATCAGATCCCAAAGATCCAGTGTCTCCTCGGGAAAGTGATCGCTCCCGCTGCTGCTATCGCACGGTGGACGTGCACGCGCCGCCGCCACGTCAAAAACTGCAGCGAATCTGTTGAATCTTTTGGGAATCTGTACCATTTTTATGCCCTTTTTGCTGCTGGTTGCTCCTCTCTTAAGCTAATTGTGATATATTTATAGATGCACACCTGAGAATGTTATATTTGGTGATGTTTTCATTTGACAAAGCCTTTGACGTTTTAACGGAGTAAACGACAAAATGGTAAAACATGAAAACAGAATGGTGTAACTATGATGAATAATGGATTAACGGTGTTAGTTTTGGGTAAAGGAGAAACTAATTACAGTTTGGGAATGTGCTGGCTGATTAATTTCTAGAACCTAATCGTAACCACCATAGCGTCTATATACAACCGTTTCAAAACGAATATTTTTTTTTTTTTATCAAATTAGAATAACCAAACATTAACTAATACTAATACTATTAGCTAGTCGATACAGTACAGTGAATTGTTCTGCTTCAGAGGAGTTGCATGGTCTAACCGTCTAAGTCAAATTCATGTCCATAAACATTTCTACTCCTTTTTAACACAACCAGTTAGTGAGGTGGAGTAAAACGCATAGCTTACGAATACACATGGTGGCTTGTGAACACACTACGAGAAGCAAGTTAGACTGTGGTTGACACGTGGGGATTTGTGGTTAGATTGTTTCATCTTCTACTCATTTCACTTCAGTAGATTTGTTCACTGTCTTATTTCTGACGCGGAAACCAGATGTAGAGTAAACCAAAAGTACGTCCAAGTTCAGTGAATCCGCAAAGTCGACTAGGTTCAACGTATTTAAGGTTATCCTTGTTCAACACTCCCTCTATTTCATAATGTTACATATTTTAGAAAAAAACTTAATTTCAAAAAATACATTTTTTACATTTTCAAAGTATATTTTATCAAATAATAATGATTAATTACAATTTTCAAAGTAAAAAATTAATTGTGCTTACTGGATTCTCATTGGTTAAGATTTATAGGAAAATAATAATCACAAAAATTATACATTATGTGTTTTATTAATATGTGTGAAAAACTAAAATATGAAACAAATTAAAACAGAGAAAGTAATATATTTTTTTTTTAAGTTGGTCATCGCAATTAGTAGTTGAATATATTAAATTGTCACCGGCAATACTTGATGCGGATATTGGTACAAGGTCTATTTCACGTGATAGCACCCCTAATATTTGGTTCTGATATTATTCTTATCAAAACCTCAAATTTATCAAATAGACAAAGTATCAATCAAATCACCAAAAACGTTTTTGTGGGCTTATATTGATGGGTAAGGTGCAAGTTGGGCTGATTTTAAAAGCCCAAGTGAATCTGAAACGTGCAAAAAAGCACGGAGAAGTTGCCCAGCCGGCTTGGAACTCCGTTACCCGGTGAAAACGATAACACGATGAGGTTTTTGCTTCTTTCAGAACAATACTCAACTGTATTTTCCGTCTTTCTCCTCTCATTCCAGTTATGGGCGCCGCTGAATCCACTAAAACCTCCATACGCGTGGTTGTAGGCGATTTCTTCAGTTTCATGGAGCTCCGATCCTCCAAGACGCCAATGGCCTCCTTTTGATTCGGAAGTCTAAACAAAATATTGAGTAGGTTCCGTTGTTATATAAGTCACTATCTGCATTTGCAGAAATCTAAGGCTTTATGGTTGCTTTGTTTATGCAGTTTGAATTTTTTGTCTGCTCTATGGTCGTGTTTCTTCCTGATTCATTTTGAGCTTGAAACTGTAATTGGCCTTCTAATATTTGATTGAGGACACTAACAATATGATCATATGATGATCTTGCACCATGTGGTTGGCCTTATTAAAAATATCTTCCACATATTGCTTACAAGTGAGGTATGTATCCATGCAAGTTCTAAACCTTTGCGTCACACGCCATTTTATGTAGAAGTTACATACATATATATATATATATATATATATATATATCTGTTCATTTTCTTTATACTTGGTTTGATCAGACGAATGCACAATTTATTCTATGATTTTTATATTCCATGCTTGCTTCTTGTTGTGTCTTTATATCCCATGCTTGATATTGTGTCTTTATATCCCATGCTTAATGTTGTGTCAGCTAGCTGAACCTCATGCCAATCTTCCTCAAGTGTCAATAGTTTTTTTTTTGTTGTTGGGAGAGGTTCGGGTCACGCTTGTTGCTGTGAGAAACATGCGTCTTAGTTTTGTTCCCACATGGTCGTGCATGCAGGTTTTTCTTTCTTATGACCGCTTCTATTCCATAGATCGTGCACTCATGTCACACATTTAACTCTTATTTTATATGATTATCAAACCGTTGACGGCTAATTATTTTATTCTTCAAAACCTGAGAATCTCTAGGAACGTGCATCCAAGTTTTGATTGACGGTGGTTTCATCTCTGCGCCAAGGTCAGCTCTTTTTGTCTCCTCTACGCGTAAATATGTCACTCATTGACGAATTCACTATAAAAATAATAGCATAATTAGAGAGGTAAAACGAATACGACCTTGGAGTTTCTAAAACTGTTTTATAAAGATGGACCACTTTAGAGATAATAGATTTTGTCATAACAAGTAAAAATTGGGTTTCTTAACCCATGAAAATGCTGCTCCCTCCTCTTCGTCTCTTCTTTCTCTGCCTATGTCTCTCCGTTTGTTTACTACAGATCAAAGCTGCAGATGGCGTCTTAGGTAGTCGTATCAGAGTAGACTCGAAGCTCAAGTTCGAGAACCCGAAGCTACGTCAAGCCTACATCGCTCTCCAATCATGGAAACAAGCAATCTTCTCTGACCCTTTCAACTTCACAGCAAATTGGAACGGCTCGGATGTTTGCTCATACAATGGTATCTACTGTGCTCCTCTTCCTGGCTCATACAACAAAACAAGAGTCGTTGCAGGGATTGACCTCAACCACGCCGACATGGCTGGTTACTTGCCTTCAGAGCTTGGTCTCCTCTGTGATCTCGCTCTCTTCCACCTTAACTCAAACCGTTTCTGCGGTGAAGTCCCTCTCACGTTCAACCGCATGAAGCTTCTTTTCGAGCTTGATCTTAGCAACAACCGGTTCGTTGGGAAGTTCCCTAACGTCGTCCTCTCTTTGCCTTCTCTTAAGTTCTTGGATCTCCGGTTCAACGAGTTCGAAGGCAAGATACCATCCAAGCTCTTCGATAGAAAGCTCGACGCTATCTTCTTGAATAGTAACAGGTTCCGGTTTGGTATCCCGGAGAATATGGGGAACTCTCCTGTTTCCGCTTTGGTTCTTGCAGACAATAATCTCGGAGGATGCATACCGGGAAGTATCGGTCAAATGGGGAAAACACTCAACGAGATTATCCTCTCCAACGATAACTTAACCGGTTGTTTACCTCCTCAGGTTGGAAACCTCAAGAAAGTGACGGTTTTCGACATCAGTTCAAACCGTCTACGTGGTCCGTTACCGTCTAGCGTCGGCAACATGAAGAGTTTAGAAGAGCTTCACGTGGCTAACAATGGCTTCACGGGAGTTATTCCTTCGAGTATCTGCCAGCTTCCTAAACTTGAGAATTTCACTTATTCGTCAAACTACTTCACCGGTCGTGCTCCTATATGCGCAGCTGTGTCGGTGGTGAACAGCTCCATGAATTGTTTCCCTCTTATGGGTCGTCAAAGATCGGTTAAAGAGTGTTTATCTTTGCTTGCGCGTCCTGTTGATTGTAGTAAGTTTGGATGTCACAACATCTTCTCTACACCACCACCACCGACGTTTAAGATGGCACCCGTTTTCCGGAATCTTCCTCCACCACCGTCGTCTAAGATGTCGCCTACATTCAGAGCATACTCTCCGCCTCCACCACCATCGTCCAAGATGTCGCCTACTGTTCGAGCAAACCCTCCTCCACCACCACCACCACCACCACCTCCACCACCTCCTCCTCCTCCACCACCACCTCCTCCACCACCACCACCACCTCCACCACCACCACCACCACCANCCACCTCCTCCTCCACCACCTCCTCCACCACCACCTCCTCCACCACCTCCACCTCCACCACCTCCACCTCCTCCTCCTCCACCACCTTATGTATACTCATCTCCTCCACCTTATGTATACTCATCTCCTCCACCTCCACCTTACATATACTCATCTCCTCCACCGCCACCTTACGTGTACTCTTCTCCTCCACCTCCGCCTTACGTTTACTCATCTCCACCTCCACCTCCTCCAAGTCCACCACCACCTTGTCCTGAATCTTCTCCCCCACCGCCTGTTGTACACTATGCACCCGTGACACAAAGCCCTCCACCACCATCACCAGTATACTATTCACCGGAAACACAAAGTCCTCCACCACCATCACCAGTATACTACGCACCAGAAACACAAAGTCCACCTCCATCAACACCAGTTTACTATCCACCAGTAACACAAAGTCCACCTCCACCGACACCGGTTTACTATCCGTCAGAAACACAAAGTCCACCACCACCAACAGAGAACTACAACTCACAAAGGCAGTCTCCACCGCCAGCAAAGGAATGTAATGACACCCATCCTCCACAAACACCACCAAGTTACGAACCAACTCCTGAATATTCTTACACATCACCACCACCTCCTTCTTACCCCGACACATCTCTTCCACCGATTCCAAGTGTCTCTTATGGTTCGTCTCCTCCTCCGACTTACTACTAGTTTCAAACCATCGAGGGAAAAAATCATTGCCTTATTATGATTAACGACCGCACACAGTAATTTGTGTATTTTACTTTCATTATTATTCCTTTTGGATATTTTGTTCTTTTTCTCCTCCTAGTACATAGTTTATTTTTGTGTCGTAATAATGTATTTTTTTTGTTATTAAAAATTGTTGTGTCTATATATAATAACACTCTTTTGACAAAAAAAAAACTAAAAATAATACTTTTTCACAAAATCATTTAATTCTTAAAATTAAAATTGAATTATAAACTAGAATATCTTACAAAAGTAAATATGATCACGTCAACTTCACAGTCATCATCCCAAGAACGGCAGCTCAAAAAACTCTATACCTACCCACTCCCCCTCTCTCTTTATCTCTTCTGTATTGTTTT